TTATTTATTCTTGCAATACCTGGAATGATTCTTATATTTATGTTTATTATAACGGGTGAAGAACATCCATTACTTGCTCGAATTACATTTTTTCCAGTTAGCATATCTGAAGCAGGACTGAGTGTAGCATTACTTTTTTCTATACCTCAACTAAAAAATATTGTTCTGAACTTACAAAAAATAAGCACAGTGGCACCTGTCAATCGGGCAGTGCAAGGCACAATACAAATGAAAACGATTACTGGTACCCAATAATTCTTGATTGTTTACAATTTCAATAGTTAAATCAATCTTGATTATTTTTATGTCATTATGTAAGTGAAGTTGTTGTTGTTTATCTATGAACATGAAATTACTATTGTTTATTGTCGTTATAATTATTGTTCCTAGTGAAATCAATATATTGTCATACTCATTTTTGTATTGTTTACTTTCGTTTATTAATGTGTAAAAATAAATAAAGTTCTAGTATTAATTGAACTAAGTTATTAAATGTAATGATTTTGATAGCAAAAAGAGGAAGAATAAATTTAGACTACAATAACACAATAACTAAAAGCACAGAATAATACAAACAAATGATGATTATGTTTAATGTCAAATATGTCCTTGAGTAAAATTTTTCCTTTATATTAAAGAATTTAATCTCATCATTATCAACAAAAAGATCCAGCTATGGTAATTACTTAATTTTTTAATTTATATGATAGAATTAGAAACTCTAGAATGAAAGTGATTGAATGTGGGTGTGAGTAGGAGAAATATGAAACGCTAAAACCCATATTCACCCTCATTAATAAGAGGATTAGATCGTTTGCTCAAATCGTAATGAAGATGTTAAATATCTTTAGTAAAGTGACTTTTGTGTCACATTATATACTCTATAAAAAATAACAACAATTCTTTTAAGAATGGATGGGTGAAAAAGAAAAACAGAATATTGATTCATACTCACACCCTCAAGAGTAAAACATTGAACGTAAAATTTCATATTATATTTAAATTACGGCAGTAATAGAGAAAATTGGGTTCAGCTTATTATTATATTAATATTTAGCTATCAAAATATATTAAGATTAGGTATATTTATGTATTCTCTCTATAATATAAATAAACATGTCCGACGATGACGTTCGAGTAAAGATCGTCGAAAAATCACAAAAAGGAAATTAAAAAAAACATATATAACATCATTCACACATAGTTGCATTCACATATATTCATATTTTATTAAAACAACGAATTTAAAATTTCATATTATATTATTTACTAATTAAGTTTCATTTTGTTGACTTAATAGTCTCATAATTTGTTTTAGATGTTGCTATTTATCGTTGATAACGATTTATTAGAGCACATACGACTGAAAGATCATTTTTCAAATAACATAGTGACGAGTCCTAGATCTTGCTGGTAAAGTATTTAGATTTTTTATTGCGAAGATTTACGGCAACTAATATCCATCGTATTTTTGTGATGTATCTCGATTGATTTGCTTCTTCGAATGAAAAGTGTCGTTTATCGTCAAGAAACAGTGTCAGAGGAACGTCAAGACCGAGAGCATGCATGACAAGTATACAATCTCGAAATTCTCTGTCCACTACTATAATATCGTGCCAAGAAATATTTCTATAATCAATGTTGAAGAAAAGTAAAATCACTTTTTCCAGCCAATTGAATATGTTATTGGTGTTTCGAAATAAGATATCTCTCATAATTGATGCGTCGTTGTTCTTAAAATTGGAAAAGAAGGGACGTATATACGCAATTATATAGCCGTTCGTTGTGACTATCATCATTGGTTTCGATAAAAATCTTTTCTTATACAAACGAAATCTTTTTCGTTGAAATTGATTATTTCGTGACTTCTAAAATAATGTTTGAAAACCTTAAATTTATAGATGTTTTAAATTATTTCTCACTTGACTATAAATGTAAGTACCATCGGTACCACGCATTAATTCTCGAGCAATTGTTGTTGTCTGATGATCGGTAACATGTTGACGTGTGACATGTCAGAATCTCAAATTATATGGTACAAAACTTTGCAAGATAGCTTCACAAGCACTATTAATAACGGGAGAAACTGTTTTTGTATCTACCGTAATTGAAACATACATGCTAAAAACTGATTCAATAAACCAAGACGAAGTTTACATTAAAATTATCTACTGATAAACTAGTTAAGAATTGACATTTATCTTGAGGGTGCGTGGTTAAGTTTGGTATGCGTATTATGTTCATCGCATACTCACACCCACACCCTATCAATTTATATCATTTATTACATAAGTAATACAATTCTCACCATCATGCTAAATTATTATAGCGAAGGCAGCTAGCGGAGAAAGCATTTCACTATCCAACGGTATAGAATCAAGAGGAAAACGCTAGACTTCAGGACTCTACTTTTGTATAGACTCCTTACTATTATAAAAATATGGTGCTAGTGAGAAAGTGCGTGGACTTTTGCAAAAACTGCAGGAATAATGTAATAACTGTTTGTTGAAACAAATTCTTTTTTTTATTTGTATCAACATCTTATGCGTTTGCTTGAAAATCAATTGTACAATGTAGAAGAAAATATAAAAACCAATTACTTAATAGATAGTAGGGTGTGGGTGTGGGTTCATCTTTTCTTTATACACACCCACACATGCGATAACGATAAATGAAAGGTCAAATTCTGAGTAACAGAATAAATCTAGATTTCTTTTTGTTTCCATAGTTAAATGTTATAATTATTATTATTATTTTCCATCATCCTACACGTATGTCATATTTGAACATTCTGTATTATCATAGTATGTTTCACATTTAAATCCTATGAGATATACACCTTATGAAATTTGACTATCGAACGTAGAAAAAAATATTGTTTGTCTAATTTCTTTTTTTCTTACTCATACTTCTTGATGATACACTGTCTCAAATGATCGAAAAACTCTATACAACAATAACAGTTAATACAAAAAAAATCATCTTTACATATTTTACTATTGATGTTTTTATTTTGATAATATTATTTCATTTTTAAGTTTTGACGCAGGTGGAATGTCTTTTTATATTTATATATTCAGTGGTGGAAGTATATTTCAATCATTATATAAAAGATTTTCTTGTAAATAAAATAGGTAGAAAGAAAAAAGATGTAAAGATAAAAAAAGCACATCCGCTATTTCTTCATTATTATTTACTTCAAAAGATATTTTTTCTTTTTATCAAAATTTGATTACGTCAACCAGACTGTTTTTAGTAGATCTCACTGAATTATAGATACTTATTGAATTCTTTAAAAGAATACGCACCATCAATCATTAGTGTAAAGAAATCGATAAGATGTAAGTACGTCATTTTCATTCTATGCACCATTTTGACCTACAATAATAAACATTTTCTTTTCCTTATAAGCTATAAGTATTAACTTTCCTGTTAATATAATGAAGATGTATCTGTCATATTTTATATTCTGATTCTATAGAGATTTAGGTAAAACTAGTATTTATATTATCTATAGATTAAAAAATTCAATTTCTTTTATTGTCGAATTAAGATTATAAAAGATATTGCTAGAATGAAGTCATACATGCATTTTTTTTGTTTATATTTATAAAGAATTTCATAGATAGGATAGCATCATAACCTCTCTACATCTGTTGAATATTAAACAAAACATATTTATTCACCTTTTCTTTTAAATTATCTTGCTACGTATATCATAAGAACATTGCATAGTTCTTTTTTCAACTATTAATTACAACCGGCATTGAGTTTCAATGCATTTTTTTAATAAGACATTTAATACATGAAAGATTCTAAATATATATACTATAAGTTAATGATGCTCTTTCTCAGTTCATTATAGACCAGATTTTATTCATGTCATCATCATCATCATCATCATCATTAGCATCAGAGATATATTTGACTATATTATTAAGTGATATTTCAACACAATTCAATCGTTATATTTCTATTATTATTTTACTCTTTGGTACAATTGGTAATTTTCTAAATTGCCTTGTTCTATCACAACCATCTCTTAAATCAAATCCATGTGCATTTTTTTTTCTTATATCTTCAATTGCAAATATTATTTCAATTATTTCTGGTTTATCAACACGAATCTTAGCAGGATGGAATCTTGATGTTACTATGACAGATACTTTATCTTGTAAATTTCGTGCATATATTATGTTTGTTTCTCGAACAATTGCATTTTGGTTAATTGCATTAGCAACTGTTGATCGATGGTGTTCATCATGTAATCAATATCAACGTCGAAAAATGAGTTCATTACGAAATGCTCAAAAAGGAAGTATTATAATAATTATATTATGTAGTTTAATCTATTGTCAAATTTTTTATTGTTATGATGCCAATTTAATTGATACACCACTACAATGTTATGGGAAAACAGTAATATGTCGTTTCATAACTGACATAACATATGCATTTATTACAGTAATATGTCCAATATTAATTATGTCAATTTTTGGTCTAATGACAATATCAAATATTCGTCAAACATATTCAGTTATACTATCTAAAAAAGACGTAAATAATCGAAATTCTCGATGTCGAAGAACATTGACAATGACGTGTGCACAACGAGAACGTTGGAGAAGAATTGATCGTTATTTAAGACATGTACTTTTTCGACAAGTCATACTTCTTACTCTTCTAACACTTCCTCAAATGATCGAAAAACTCTATACAACAATAACAGTTAATACAAAAAAATCATCATTACATATTACTATTGATGCATTTGTTTATAATATTGTTTTACTTTTAAGTTTTGCTGCAAGTGGAATGCCTTTTTATATTTATACATTGAGTGGCGGAAGTATATTTCGAACAACATTTTTAAAACTATTACAATCATTATATAAAAAACTGAAATGTCAATAGAATATACTATCGATTGTAAGAACTTGTTTTTCTTTTCATATATAAATTGCATTTAGCAAACTATCTGATATTATTTAAATGTAATTTGATAAATTTTTGATTGTAATATACATATTATGTATTATAAATCATACTTGAAAAGAATTTGTGTTAAAATAAAAGTAGACGGCATATTATCTTTTATAATTCATGCATAATAGACAGTTCTCAAAGTTAAATAGAACTATCGAACCTTTATTATTATCTTCAATGACGTAGATAGACTATTTGTTTGAGATAGCATGTTATATAGTATACAAAGAATTAAATAACCATATGATACGTCATTACGTTGAGAAAAATCTTTGACATTAACCACATCGAATTGCAAAGCTAATTAATTAATAAAATATGAAATTGTTAAGATTATTTTAATCATCTTGAGTGTTTATTATCAAAATAAAATCGAACTCTTTCATGACGACATTTGTTCAAATCTGTTTATGCTTTTTATAGAATGTAATTAAGAATCGAAATTATAAATAGAATTTTGACATTAAACTAGGAAATGATTGTATAATAGAACTAAGAAGAGAAAAAGAATGCAATGTAGTATATTCCAAAATAATATTGGATGACTATAATTACACGGAAGTTCTTACAAGACCTACGTAATATTGATATTTATATACCCAATATCTTATATATCTCAGAGTACAAGTAAATAGAATAATGAAATTGTAATTACATGAACTATTTAGTATTTGAGTTAATCTATCAAATGATATCTTGTGGTATATTAATAAATATATAAATATGAGAATATGTTAATTATTTTTTGATAATACGCATCTTAACTATTAGTCACATGCAGAGTCACGTTGTATTACGAATAGGCAAAGCTTACATGAATATATAAGATAGAAGAATAAAAAGAAATGTCGTATATACAATATTCATGAATTTATACCCCTAAATATGATTAGAAGTTAATCTAATTCTCTACTATTGTACATGTTCCATTGTTTTGTAAATAATATTAAAAAAATCACTGAATGTCAACAAGTAAAAGTTAGATTTATCCAAAGAACAAAAAAAATGATAATTTAAACGTCTATTACTTTATGAATATATTCAAATAGACAATACAATCATCATTTTTTAATGCAAAAGAATAAAAAGAAAAATTAATCGCACTTTTAATACATATTTATGACTCATTCAAACGGTTAATATTGTTTTTTGTGAAAGTCCATTAATAATTATAAACAGATGAAATGATTGCATAGTGCAAAAATATCTCATTGTTTCTACCGTCAATGTACAATCATACATTCTCAATGCGTTCTTAATATTAACAAATAATATTTGGTCTTTTGCGTTTTTTATTTTACCAAGATAAAGATTCGAAAGCATATTACTTTATACAGGTGATAAAACTGTTTGATTTAATCATTTTTTTATACAATGGCTGTATTTAATGATTATTATTGTTTGATAAATATAAACGTCATATTTATTCTCTCTATTTCATTAGACGAAAGTATTCGATACATTTAGATTGATGACATATGACGATATTTCCTTTGTTTTCATATTTTTCTTTCCCCCATACTTATTATCGATATCGAAATAAAACACATTTATAAATCGGTTGTATCGAAGATGCAACAGCAGCAGCAGCTAAAAGTTCAAGAGCAAAAAGACGACGTTAAAGATACAAAAAGAAGCAAATCTTTGCTTCCAAGTTTATCAATCGAATATGACAATATACTATCAAGAGCATCGCCGTATGTTCAATTGACAACAGAGGAAAACTTTTAATTGTTTAAAATTTTAGGAGGCGCTTATCAGCACGTTTTAATCGTCCAAGTTCGTTAACAGATATAAGAACACGTGAAGCTTTACGGTAGATTCAATAAACAATTTATATATAAATTCTTATTCGATTCATTATTTCTTTTAGTGTGGTACCATTGAATAACAATGATGATTTACTTGAAATACGTTCAAATAAACAATATGGTAAATCTGTCTCTGTCGATAGTGAAGAATCGTCTATAATAACTTTAAATATTAGTGGAAATCGTTTTCAGACATATCTTTCAACATTAGAATTATATCCTGATACTCTCTTAGGAGATAAAAAGAAAAGAAAACGTTTTTGGAATTCAAAAACTGAAGAATATTTTTTTGATCGAAATCGTTCTTGTTTCGAAGCAATTCTTTATTATTATCAATCGAATGGAAATGTTCGTCGACCAGAATCTGTTCCAATCGATACATTTATTGAAGAAGTCACTTTTTTTCAACTCGGTGAAGAAGTAGCTAAAAAAATTCGTGAAACAGAAAATATTAAACCAGTAGAAGAGGTTCTAATGCCACACATGCTTTGGCGTCGATATCTTTGGTTTTATCTTGAATTTCCTCAACATTCACTTCCAGCACGTATAATTATGCTTACATCAACACTTTTTACTATTCTTTCTTGTGTAACATTAGCTATTGAATCATTACCAGCATATAATAATCATTGGGATAATATATGTAAAGAAAAAGCAAATATTTCATTGAATGCAACTTATACTCCACGCTGTGCAGCACTTTTTTATTCACCTTTTTTTATTGTTCAAACAGTATGTGTTGTTTTTTTTACAGTCGAATTTTTTTTACGAATTATCAGTACTCCATCTTATCGTCGATTTCTTCTTTCATTTTTCAACTGGATTGATTTAGGTGCAATCATACCTTATTATGTCTTTTTAGTTATTCAATTAGCTGATAAAGATATTGGTTTAAATACAAATGCGGTACTTTCTATTCGTCTACTAAGAGTTCTACGATTTTCTCGTATTTTTAAAATTTATTTGGTATTTAAACGATTAAAATCATTACGTGTGTTAAGTGCAACAGTGAAAGAATCATTGATTGATTTTGTTATTATGGTTACTATTGTTGCTTTATTAGGATTTTTATTTGGAGCAGCAGTTTATTTTGCTGAACAAAATGACAATGGTGATGTATTTGATTCAATACCTAAATCAGTCTATTGGGGAATAATTACTATGACAGGAGTTGGGTATGTATTAATGTTTTGTTCTTATAAAAGTAACATTTATATTGATTTATTATAATTACTACAAATTTATAGATATGGAGATATGGTTCCAATTACATATCTTGGTCGTATTATAACATGTTTATGTGCTCTAAGTGGTCCTGCAACAATGGGTATGCTTATTTCTGTGTTTGTCGATCGTTATCAACGAGTTTATAATCGAAAAATGTATATATGGGAATCAGAAGCACCACCGACCGATGTTGATTTAATTCATGATCATGATCCTGATAATGATGATATAAAATCAGTTACATCTTCACAAAAAGCAGGTCGAAGACGACCCATTTCAGAAGTTATCTCTGATTCATTATCATCGTTCCATGATATGATCAAACATGACCATCATCATCATCACCATACATTATCAGAAGCATATGATCTACAATTGATTGTTTCATTTAATAATAAAAAGAATAATAGAGGTAATGATGCAACCGATCATCTCGTTACAATGATGAAGAAAAAATTAACTGAAGCTGTTTCAACTATCGATATCGATGTTAATTTAAAATTAATTGATCATGACAGTAAAGAACTTTGGAAAATATCATCTGTTGATTCATTACCTTTTACTCCAACTATTATTGTATCATCCGATGTAGATGATACATATTTCTCTCATATTTAAGCTTCTTAGATTTTTTTTTATTGATTAATACCTTTATTTTACATATAATTTTTGTGTATTTAAACCAAATTTAACTATATTGAAAAAAAGCATACAATGTACAGAAATGTCAGTATTTATGTTTGATTTTATAAGGCTAAGTCATATGAAAATAAAACACGGGAAGGCTATGTTGTTTATCAATAAATTTTTCATTGAAATGTTCTGGACTTTTTTTAAATAAAATGAAGAAAAAAACGAAATAAAGGAATTCTAGAATATGATCGTGTGAAGTCTTATTTAAAGATATTTTTAGCCAAAGTTGCAGTTAATCTTAATGCAAAACTAACGAAAGATGCTGTTACACTACTTCCTGCGTTTCGACATTCTCTAAAATATAAGTTAAAGATTTTTATAAGATTTTATTTTTAGAAATAGATTTACCCCCATGTTGAACCTAATTACAGTTAGGAGTAAAACCAACACAATTATCTGTACAAATTTGAGCATCACATATTGTTGAGGATGTTTCAATAATACCATATCCAACGTAGGTGTTGCTAGGTGGACAATAACAGTTACATAAGTAATCAGCTTCGACAATGCTTAATAAACAGAGACTAAGAGCTGTAATTTTTGTGATCATAGATAATATATTGTGTTGGTGTGACTTGTATTGTGAACTAACTTGGTTTTATTTTTTACCTCTATTTATATCTTTGCAAAAGAAGACAATTTGTTTGCATTAAATTTATTTGTGTATTTTTCATCATAATCATAACAGAATCCCTTAAGTATTTTGACAAGCAGACATTCGCAATAGCCTATGCAAACAATCAACCCCTTTTATACATACATGTATGTCTGTTACTTCCTTCTTTAATTATTTTAGAATGAAATGTACATATCTCAGACTGGAAAACTTTCTTTTCCAACAAATTCTGCAATGTAACGTCTGTAACAGATCCGTTTATTTTCGTTTTTCATTATTTTTGATCAAATATAAAACTCTACCATAATAAGAATACATTTACCGTTAGTTTTTTTCCAGAAGATAAAGAGATAACATGAGATTTATATTCATCTTTTATATTATTCTAACCGGAGTTTTGAACAATAGTCAAGCTCAACATAAATAAATTATCTTGAAAAATTGTATTTTTATTTTTGTGAATCTAGATCGTCTGATAATCGGCAGTGTAGTAGAAGCTGAACAAAGTCTTTAAAGTCGAACGGATAGATTATCAAGTTATTGATATAAAAAATTTCGAAATGTAATAAACAATTAAAACAAAACTACAATATTGTGTACTTATGCAAGGAAAACTTTCATTTATTATTCTTCCTGATGTATATATGAGAGAAAACATTTTTTTAATCAAATGACTAATATCATAAATCGAAATAAACCTAGCAAAAAATTATTAAAAACTTTTTGTATAAAACAAATATTTTTATATCGAGTTTGCTCATATCTTTAATATTGGATGTTTGTTATACTGTTTCAATAGTGTCTCTAAATATTTACAGTACGTATCATTATTGATTCGGTGATATTTACGCGCGCATATATCGTGTCACGGTCATTATTTCCTACCATAGGATGCATTAAAAAAATCTCAGAAATATTCTTACAGTAATTAATCATTCAAGGCATTCATACGATTTTTTATTTGAGATATTTACTATTTATTTTCGTTTTTAGAGCGCTTATGTATGTTATAAATGCAGGAGAGCATTGCCAGAAAATAACTATAGAACAGACGAATTTCAAGACTGTATATCACGAAAAAATCATTATATAGTTGATAAGAATATACAATCAAATTTTTTTATAAATATTATATAGAATAATAAAAACTGATCAAAATTACTTGATAGTTTTCTGAAAATATAGAACATATTGACCTATGTGTTATTATTCATCACCAAAATGATCAAAACTATATTGTACACTTTTTCTATTGGATAATATATGCAATTGACGTCAAATCGTTCCTTTTATAATTTTCTAAAGTAGTTTGCATTTATTTCTCTCTTATCATACTTGTAAATATTGGTGTTTGAATAAGATAAATGCATATATTAACATGTTAATACCACGTGTGATCGATGAAACGTGCTTTTTTTCTTTCTATTCTCGTAAGGTAACGTTAATAATATAGTCAAAAATCGTTTCATGAAGAATGCATGATTCATTGACTAGAAAGGAATAAAACAGCGATTTTACAAACGTCATACATTAACAATATCTATGTGTAACCATGTCGTCGACAGACACTCCTACGATGAAGTATGACACATATTGTTTATGTACATATAAATTCTAGAAAAGAAAAAGAAAAAAAATGGTTTTATATACTAATGTTGTGTTAGTATAAATTCGAATTATTTATAAAGAGTTGTTATCTTTGTACAACTGATAAGCAAGATGTTTTCACATTCTATAGCAGCTGGTCTTAAAAATACACTTCCAGAAGCCACATCAATAATTGGTGATCAAATACCAGATACTTATGATGTTATTATTAAATTCCATTCGGCAGAAGTATAGTTTTGTTTGTTTTTTAATATGTGTAATATAATATATTTTTTGATTTGCAGAAGTTACCTAGAACTGATTTAGTTGGATATACTGATCCTTATTTTGTGGCAAACATCGATCATCAAATTTCATTTACGTGAGTAATTTTTGATGAAATGTCAAAAAAATGAATATTTTTTTTAAATATCGATTTTAGATCCATTATTATACCTAATACTTCTGTACCAGTATGGGATGATGAAGAATGGATTGTTCGAAATATTCCTCGTAATGCAAAACTTACTGTTAAACTCTATGACAAAGATGATGAAAAACTTACTGATGATTATATTGGTCGATTTGTAATTGACGATCTTATTAATTATACTCCACCAACAAAAGGTCATAAGATTATTGGAAGTTTTGCTAGAAATAATGGTCGTTTTCATTTATCTATTCAATCAATGAGATCATCAGAAGAAACTCAACAACTTCCACGTTATACATTCGATGGTCCTTGTCGATTTTCTCGTCATAATTCATTAGCTATTGGCAGGCTGACAATGCTCAATGCTGACTGTGTTTATTCAACATTCAAAATATCCATGAGACGACTTTCTTTCTTCTTTCCACCTGCTCAACGTCAACATTGGAATACAAATTATAAATTAGCAAGAAGCATTTTTGGTAATTGTCCACTTGCATTAGCGTCAAAAAGTACAATTAAAATAGGTCATAAAGTACTCTATGGAAGTACCATAAAACATAATGAAAATGGTCAATTGACTAATGCTGATGATCTTTGGAAATATATTTTTACAGATAAAATTACACAAAGAATCAAACCATGTATTTATACTTATGTTATTGATGATTATACATGGAGATTTAGTGAGACTGGTGTACGATTCTTTACTGATATGGCAAGTAAGCATGCATTATTAGCAAATGGTTCTGAATACGTTCGATATGCTGGTGAATTTCATCTTCGACCTAAATATGGATGGGATCAATTCGATGATGAATGGGAATTAGTGATTGATAATGGATCTGGAACTTATGCACCAAATCCTAACCTATTAACAAATTTGAAAGAATTATTAGTATTTAATTTTCCAGGACTCAATGTATTAACATATGATTTTGAAAATCCACTGCTAAAAGAAAGTAAAGAACAATTGAAATTAGCAATAGAAAAATATAAGCATATTACACCAACGATCGATCGACTTATTGGTCGTTATTCACCAGAGACTTTAAATGAATGTGATGATGAAACTTGTGTTCATTCTTAATAAATTTGATAAGCTATTTTTGTGTAACATTTCTGTAGATTATATTTACTGTTTTTGAATAATATAAATTGAAGTCATCATAATAGTTAGTCTATTACAAATAATTCTATATAAACTATTGTAAAACTAATCTTATTAATAAATAAGATAAGTATAATATGAAGAAAATGATTAATGTGGTTTGAAAAACAAAGACCATTCATGTCAAAAGTATGTCTTTGTAAACCAGGTTTTCTTTTGAGGTTTATTGACTATGTATATTTTTTTCTATTTTTAGAAAATAGATGAGACTCTGTCTGCATTTTTTCAAAAATATTCATTACTCTGCTGTTCAATATTTAAACGTAATTATAAATCCATACTGAATTTTTGTGGCAAATACAAAATAATAAACTAAGTAGTATTTAATTCTAAAGTCTCTTCCTCAAGCGTACTAATTTAACTCACAATATACAATAAAAACTGACTCATCTAATTCACTAAGGATAATTACAAATAAGTTATGACGTCGATCAAATCATATTTACGTTTGTCTACTAATACACGCCCTTTTTTCTTCTTCTCTTTCTTTCTCTATTGTATAATACATAATATATGCTCACATGTTTCAATGGTAAAACTAACGTTATTCTGTATAATAAAATGGACAGTACAAAAGAAGAAAAAAAATGATTTATAACCCATAACGTCATTATGATCAACACGCTATTATTACTCATAAATATATCTATCGAAAAAAATCCAACACACAAAACAAACTAATAAATCTAAATGTCTTCGCCCTCGATATCTGATGGTCTTAAAAGTAAAATTCCCGAAACAACATTATTGGTACATAGTCAACCAGTTGATGCATATGATGTTGTTATTCGATTTCTATCAGCTGAGGTTATATTGCAATAAATTTTCTTTCTAAATATGTTTTTGTTTTTTTTCATAGAATGTGCCAAAAACTGATATAGTTGGACATTCTGATCCATATTTTATAGCAAAAATTGACGATAATATAACACACACATCAGCTGTCGTGGAAAATACTGCAACACCGAAATGGCATGATGAAGAATGGATTGTTCGAAATATTCCACTTGATGCCAAACTTTTTGTTAATGTATATGATAAAGATGATGATCAACCTCTTGATGATTATATTGGTCAATTTGAAGTACTTAATTTAATTAACTATCATGCACCAGATGGTGGTCATGATATTCTCGGTTTAAGTGGACATAAACATGGTAGTTTTCATTTATCTATTCAATCAATGCAATCATCAGAAGAATCTCAACAACTTCCACGTTATACATTCGATGGTCCTTGTCGATTTTCTCGTCATGATTCACTTTCCGTTGGTCGCCTGGCAATGTTTCACGCTGATTGTGTTTATTCAACATGGAAAATATCCATGAGACGACTTTCTTTTTTCTTTCCACCTTATCAACGTCAACATTGGAATACAAAATATAAGTTAGCAAGAGCCATTTTTAGTAGGTGTCCACTTTCAATAGCACCACGAACTACACTTAAAATAGCTCATAAAGCTCTTTATGGACGAACCGTAAAACATAATGAGAGTGGTCGATTAAATGACGCTAATGATCTTTGGAAATATGTTTTTACAGATAAATTCACTAAAAAAATTGAACCATGTGTTTATACATATGTTATTGATGATCATGCATGGAGATTTAGTGAAGTTGGTTCACGACTCCTTACTGATATTGCAAGTAAACATGCATTATTAGCGAATGGTTGTGAATATGTTCGATATGCAGGTGAATTTCATCTTCGACCTAAACACGGATGGGAGAAAATAGATGATGAATG